TCTAGTAGTGAACTGCATGGTAAATAGGTGGCTCTAGAGGCTAGGCCATCTGCTGAGCTTACTCTCAGGATTTTTAACCTTTGCAGTTATCCCCAGGTAATGGAATCTGATCCCTGGCACTGAAAGTGATACTACATTCATGCCCTTTACTTCCTTGAGCCTCCTACCATCTGATCTTCTGAGAACCTCCTGCCTTCTCACTAAAGGCTGGCCAAAGCCGAAACTTTTTTAAAAAATTATTTTACTGTGTGTATGGGTGTTTTGCCTGCATGTATGTACCACAGACATACCTGGTGACCACGGAGTCCAAAAGAGGGCATGGGATCTCCTATAAATGGAGTTACAGACAGTTGTGAGCAACCACGTAGATACTAAGACTAACTAGAAGTCCAAACATCAGGGAGGAGTTGCTCAAGATACCACTCACACAACCACAATTGATGCAAAAGCAAGAGGATTTTTATTCTATCATGACAGGGCCCTTCAGGTTCGGGATATGAAGAACATCCGATAGCTGATTGCTCTTTCAGAGGTCCGGAGTTCAGGTCCCAGCTACCACATGGTGGCCCACAACCATCTATGAGATCTGGTGCCCTCTTCTGGCCCACAGGTGTACATGCAGGTAGAACACTGTATAGGAACTTCAAAATCAATGTAGTCTAGTGCTCACTTTGGCAGAACATATACTGAAATTGGAATGATACAGAGAAGATTAGCATGGCCCCTGCGCAAGGATGACACACAAATTCATGAAGTGTTCCATAATTTTGTTCTTTCAGGCCCTGGATCATGTCAAACTCCCAGGACTTCAGCTTCAACATTAGCTGACAGTCATTGATGCTTTCGTGTTAACTTCGTTCTGTAATCACGCCTTTTCCATGTGCCCCTGTATGGCTTATTTCCATGATGTCTCAAAATAAAAGCTTTAAGAAAAAAATCGACAGAATCTATAGTTTAGAAGTTAGGAGAGTGTGCCTGCAAGGTGTCTTAGCAAGCAAAAGTGCTTGCCATACAAGTCTGGTGATCTGAGTTCAATCCCTGGAACCTATAATAAAAGGAGAGAACAAATTCCACAAAGTTATCCTCTGACCTTCACTTCTGGACATGTATGCATGTGCTCGCTCAGACTTGTACACACACACACTATAATAATAATAAAATAAGTCGACCTTGTATTCTGTTTCCTTTTTGCTTTTTCAAGACAGGGTTTCCCTGTGTAACAGCTCTAGCTGTCCTCAAATTTGCTCTGTAGTCCAAGCAGGCCTCGAACTCAGAGATTCGCCTGCCTCTGTCTCCCAAGTGCTAGGATTAGAAGTGTGCGCCGCCGCAACCTGACCTCATATTGTTTCTTTTTTTTTTACTTTTATTTTTATTATTATTAAAAAATTTCCCCTCCTCCCCTCCTCCCATTTCTCTCCCCCTCCCCCAACATTCCCTTCCCCTTCCTCTCCAGTCCAAAGAGCAGTCAGGGTTCCCTGCCCTGTGGGAAGTCCAAGATCCTCCCCCTCCATCCAGGTCTAGGAAGGTGAGCATCCAAACAGACAAAGTTCTCACAAAGCCAGTACAAGCAGTAGAATCAAAACCCAGTGCCATTATCCTTGGCTTCTCAGTCAGCTCTCCTTGTCAGCCACGTTCAGAGAGTCCGGTTTGATCACATGCTCCATCAGTCCCAGTCCAGCTGGCCTTGGTGAGTTCCCATTAGATCAGCCCCACCATCTCAGTGGGTGGGCGCACCCCTCGCGGTCCTGACTTCCTTGCTCATGTTCTTTCTCCTTCTGCTCCTCATAAGGACCTTGGGAGCTCAGTCCAGTGCTCCAGTGTGGGTCTCTGTCTCTATCTCCATCCATGGCCAGATGAGGGTTCTATGGTGATATGCAAGATATTCATCAGTGTGGCTATAGGATAGGGCCAGTTCAGGCGCCCTCTCCTCAGATGCTCAAGAAACAAGCTGGGGACATCTCCTTAGACACCTGGGAACCCCTCTAGAGTCTAGTCTCTTGCCAATTCTAAAGTGGCTCCCTTAATTAAGATATCTACTTCCCTGCTCCCATATCCACTCTTCCTCCATCCCAACCATCCCATTCCCCCAAGCTCTCCCCATCCTCCCTTTCTCACTTATCTCTCCCCATCTCCCCTTACTCCCACCCCACCCACCCCCAAGCTCTCAATTTTTGCCTGGCAATCTTGTCTACTTCCAATATCCAGGAGGATAACTACATGTTTTTCTTTGGATACACCTTCCTATTTAGCTTCTCTAGGACCACGAATTATAGGCTCAATGTCCTTTATTAATGGCTAGAATCCACTAATGAGTGAGTACATACCATATTCATCTTTTTGGGTCTGAGTTACCTCACTCAGGATAGTGTTTTCTATTTCCATCCATTTGCATGCAAAGTTCAAGATGTCATTGTTTTTTACCTCTGAGTAGTACTCTAATGCGTATATATTCCACACTTTCTTTATCCATTCTTTCATTGAGGGGCATCTAGGTTGTTTGCAGGTTCTGGCTATTACAAATAATGCTGCTATGAACATAGCATATGTTGAACAAATGCTTTTGTAGTATGATAGGGCATCTCTTGGGTATATTCCCAGGAGTGGTATTGCTGGATCCTGGGGTAGATTGATCCCGAATTTCCTGAGAAACCGCCACACTGATTTCCAAAGTGGTTGCACAAGTTTGCATTCCCACCAGCAATGGATAAGTGTTTCCCTTACTCCGTATCCTCTCAAGTAAGGGCTATCATTGGTGGTTTTGATTTTAGCCATTCTGACAGGTGTAAGATGGTATCTCAAAGTTGTTTTGATTATTTGCATTTCCCTGATCGCTAAGGAGGTTGAGCATGTCCTTAAGTGTCTTTTGGCCATTTGAACTTCTTCAGTTGAGAATTCTCTGTTCAATTCAGAGCCCCATTTTTTCGTTGGGTTAATTAGCATTTTAAAGTCTAGTTTCTTGAGTTCTTTATATATTTTGGAGATCAGACCTTTGTCTGATGCGGGCTTGGTGAAGATCTTCTCCCAATCAGTAGGTTGCCTTTTTGTCTTAATGACAGTGTCTTTGCTTTACAGAAGCTTCTCAGTTTTAGGAGGTCCCATTTATTCAATGTTGCCCTTATTGTCTGTGCTACCGGGGTTATATGTAGGAAGTGGTCTCGTGTTCCCATATGTTGTAGACTACTGCCCATTTTCTCTTCTATCAGGTTCAGTGTGGTCAGATTAATATTGAGGTCTTTAATCCATTTGGACTTGAGTTTTGTGCATGGTGATAGATATGGATCTACTTTCATTCTTCTACAGGTTGACATCCAGTTATACCAACACCATTTGTTGAAGATGCTTTCTTTCTTCCATTGTATACTTTTAGCTCCTTTGTCAAAAACCAGGTGTTCATATGTTTGTGGGTTAATATTCGGGTCTTCTATTCGATTCCATTGGTCGACTTCTCTGTTTTTATGCCAGTACCAAGCTACTTTCATTACTGTAGCTCTGTAATAGAGTTTGAAGTCAGGGATGGTAATGCCTCCAGAAATTCCTTTATTATATAAGATTGTTTTGGCTATCCTGGGTTTTTTGTTTTGCCATATAAAGTTGATTATTGTTCTCTCAAGGTCTGTGAAGAATTTTGTTGGAATTTTAATGGGGATTGCGTTGAATTTATAGATTGTCTTTGGTAGAATTGCCATTTTTACTATGTTGATCCTACCCTTCCAAGAGCATGGGAAGTCTTTCCATTTTTTGGTGTCCTCTTCAATTTCTTTCTTCAATGCCTTAAAGACCTCATATTGTTTCTTAAGCTAATCACCTCGGTGTGGTTAATTTGTAAAAAGAAAATGAGCTTTGTATGCATTTTCCTCTCCATGCATTAAATTTTATAAATAATTCTACTGAGCCAGGATAGTGTCATATACCTGTAATCCCAGTACTTGGGAGGCTGAGGCAAGAAAATCACAGAATTCAAAGTCAGCCTGAGCTACATAGTGAAAACCTGCCTTGACAAAACAGTTTTTGCAGAGGCAGGAGTTAAAAGCATTGGCTATACTTCCAGAGGGCCTAGGTTTGAATCCCAGCACCCACATGCAGGCTCACGGTCCAGTTTCAGAGGATCCCATCTTTTGTTGTCTTTGTGCACCAGACAAGCATGTGGTCCACATACATACATGTGGGCAAAACATCCATGGACATAAAAAATTAAAAAGTTTATTGGGAAAAATTGCACTTTGAACATCAGAGCAAGGAGACTGCTTTTCCCCTAATGAATATGTAACACATATATTTATTGTATGTAGTGTTGAGTTTTATACAATTTCTTTCAAGCAAGTCATATACTTTGACCATATTCCTCCTTCCCTCTTCTCCATGAAACCAGTATGGTAGATCATGTGACAAGAATAAAATGCTTAGTGTCAACCTGATAGTCCACTGGGAACTTGCCTTTCCTTTCTGTGCCTTTTTTTTTATAATTGTTAGCGTAAGATGAAGTACCTCTTCATATGTAAAGACATGAAAGATATATTGGACTGGTGTCAACTGTTATTTTAAATATATATATATATATTAGAATATATATATTCTAATTTGTGAGGGTTGCATGATTGTGGGTATACATGTATGTATGGAGGTCAGAGATTAACCTCAGGCCTTTACCAACTTTACCAACTGAGCTCTATATTTCCCTAGTCCCATATATGTATATTTTAAGTCAGTGACCCAAAGCAGGCAGGCAGTATGGCTGAGTTACAATGAGCAAGAGAGAGTGGTCTTTGCAGCAGAATAGAAGGGGCTAGGGCATGGACTTTAGGATTTAGTCAAAGTGTACCCTCTAGGTTTTAGGATTCAATTCATGTATAGCTAAGAATGAAAACTTCTCAAGGGCTGAGTACTTGATGAAGTAGAACTTGGGAGAAAAAGAGGCATTCACTCTTGATCTGTAAGCCAGAAGACCATGGATAGATCAGTGTCATGTACACAAGAGGCAACATACCAATTTTTTTAAATCCCCCAAAGGAATTAATTCCTAGGGGTTTCATAATACCAGATTAATGCAAGGAATGGACAGAATCAACTATTCCATCTCCTTGCTTAAAAAAATTCATTTAGTACATTTTCTTCAGATAAAGGACATGTCAGATAGTAAACTGGTTAAGAATAGATACAAAACTTCATATTAGCTAAAAGGCTGAGATATGATAATGGACCAAATGCTCATCAAGTACACACTATGCTGAGCACTGCTTTGAGCGGAATGCACCTGACACCAGTCCCTCTAGAATTTATATGCCTGTGGAATGCTGTTCTCCAGGCTTGGAATTGCCATTGCTGTCTTAAAATGAAAACAGTTGAACCCGTCACCCATGATCCTGTAAGTAACCACAATTAAACCCATAGGTTTACCAAGCTAGATTTGGGTGAAAATGTTTCTCCAGTACGTTACATGGCTCCAAGGATGGACCTGACTGGGGCAGCAATGGAGTGAAGAAAACACAAACACAGACACACAGAAAAGCTGGAAACTGGTAGATTAGGCTCTCTGATGGAGGAACCATACATATTACTCTAGGAAGCATGGCATGCTTATTATATGAGAGAAGGTATTATTACATCCAGATAAATAAGGAGCCAGGATTTATGGAATATAGCTGAATGAAGAAGACAGGATTAGTTAATATCAGTAGGAACAGTCTCTGTAGGGGTAGGAGTCTTCCGAATGTAAATATGGAACTGTGGAGAAAGCTATAGTGGACGTTTTCTGTATACACTATCAACATTTGCACTTGGCCAGGAAGAAAGAAGCCTTTGCCATTTCCCCAAGCTAGGCTTGGGGAAGGCTTTACCATTTTCCCATGGATCTGAGGCATTGGGGTCCTTGACATGGCCATGGCTATGTCAACAGCACACATTCACTCAGGACTTCACACATGCAGGACTTTCTCATCTCCCCAGTTTGTCCTTGGTGAACTATTTGGAGTGAATAGATAATATGCTTGTACTTGTCTCCCCAGGAAAACTTAATGCAACACTTGGTACCCAGAGACATGACAATGATAAATTATCTCTGCTGTAGGTGAAGAGACATACAACTAACTGATGCTAAGCCACCCCAGGGTGTAGGTAGCATCCATGGAAGCAATCCTAACATGGCTTGTTCCAGGAATAGGCAATCATACTTACCTAGAGTTAACTGCACATTTCTCTCCTGTCTGTAAGAAAGTATACTGGGAGAGGCAGGCAGATCTCTGTGAGTTTGAGGCCAGCCTGGCCTACAGAGCAAGTTCCAGAACAGCCAGGGCTACATAGTGAGACCATATAAACAACAACAAAACAAACAAAAAATGAGGCTAGAAGGGTGGTGCATGTATTTAACTCCAGCATTCAGAAGACAGAGGCAGAGGCCAGTAGATTTCTGTGAATTCAAGGCCAGCCTGGTCTACAGAGTGAGTTCTAGGCCACCCACATAGTGAGACCTTGTCTCAAGAAACAAAAACAAAAAGAAGAAAGGGTAGAAAAAGAAAGTATGCTGGGGGTGGGATTGGAGAGATGGCTCAGCAGTTAAGAGGACTGGCTGTTCTTTCAGAGGACCTGGCTTCAATTTCCAGCACTCACGTGGTGGCTCATAACTAACTGTTTAACTCCAGTTCCAGGAAATACCCTCTTCTGGCCTGCATGGGCACTGCACACATTTTGCATAGACATACATATTGACAAAACTCTCATACACATAAAATAAATACATAATTTTTAAAAGTATGCTGGATCCTGGAGAAATGGCTCAGTAACTAAGAAATCAAATTGCTCTTGAAGAGAGTCCCCAAGTACAATTTCCAGCACCCAATTGGATGACTCACCTGTAACACTAGCTCCAAGGAGATCTGATACCTCTGGCCTCCATGAGTAGCTACTGGCACACACATATACATAATTAAAAACAATAAAATAACTTAAAGTATGCCAAGTAGAGATTATTTACCTAGCTTGGGGTCCTTTCAGCAGCCAAATATGGCCAATGGCGAGGCAGAAGCCAGCTGTAGCATTGGCTTAAAGGCTGTCAAGTATGTGGAGCCTCATAGACAGAAGATGAGAGTGTAGCCTTACATCCCCCTGGCTTCAAGCTGTTCAAAGCAGTAAGAGTCAGCTCCACTTAGTTCTTCAGAGATGGGAGACATATGGAGTCCCATGGCATATTCTAGGATGAGGTGAAAAGGCTAATGGAGAATGACTGTGCATTGTGGAGGGATAACTCAAATAGTGCCTCCCATCAAGCCATTGATTTACCTCTGATCTTTTGAGAAAATGATACAAGCAATGGAATCTTTTCATTCTGTATTGAACCTTGGTAAAATTTTTCTTAACTATCAGCTGATTCCTGACATCATTGGCACTTGCTTAGAATGGTAAGTATTGGGCCTTTAATAATCCGGACTACCCTTTGTAAAATGGTGTAGGGAAAGTGATATATAACTCAGTAGATAAAGGCTCCTCACCCTGTGAACTACATGGCAGAAGGAGGAAATCAATTTTTGCAAATTGTCTTCTGAAGCAAGCACACACACACACACACACACACACACACAAATGTAATTTCATTACATAGATTATATATAATACTAACCTCTGAGTGTTTTATAGATTTAGAAATGCATATGAAAAGCATGGGAGCAACACCCAAAGAAGCAAGTATGGGAAATCATATGGGGTTATAAGGGCCAGGACACCTATGAAAATTTTAGCTTTAGGATGCAGATGATACCTACCATGATGAATGATAAAAGTCCTACAAAAGCCTGTGCCTGCAAATTTTAGTCAAAATAATGGTTAGAGTTTGAGTGAGTCAGACATGGTACACACTTATAATCCTAGTGCTTACGAGGTAGAAGGATTGGGAGATCAAGGTCATTATTGGCTACTACATGAGTTCGATCTCAGCCTGGGCTATATGAGACCCTATCTCAAAAAAAAGCAAGCAAGAGTTTGAATGAAGGTACAATGAATGGGTGAAAAAAAGATGTTTCCATAATCTATAAGTTGCTAAATAAAAATCTCAGTGTCAGGGATAATTATTTCCTTACATGCTATTGGCCAGGGAGAAGGAGGAAGAGGAAAGAGGGGCGAGAAGGAAAGGAAAAGAGAGAGACAAGCGGAAACATGCAATCTTTTTGGAGTATTTGGTGCTAGGATGGAACCTATACTCAGCAAGTATTCTAACCTTGAGCTACAACCATAGTCTACATGTATGTCAAGTTGGAGACCATCCATAATTAGATTAGAAGGGAAAAGAGAAGCATTGAGCCAACACACAAGATGAAAGCAGAGAAGCCACAAACCCCAGAGAGAAGCAGAGAAAGCAGGCGGGGAGCCAAATACCCATACTCAGCAATGGAAAAACTCTGCTGTGGCCCACCAGTTATTTCAGCACATATTCAAATGTAGAAAGGTTACAGTGTGGTAGTTTTTTTGTATAAATAGTTACTGTCAATTTTTTCCTAGATGCTGGATCTCTATCTAGAACCTTCAACTACCCTCTGAGTTCTAAACCTGTGGATCACAACCCCTTTGACAAACTTCTATCTCCAAAAATATTTACATTATGATTTGTAATAGTAGCAAAATTACAGTTATGAAGTAGCAACAAAAATAATCTTACGGTTGGGGGGGGTCACCACAATGAGGAACTATATTAAAGGGTTGGTAGAATATGGAAGATTGAGAACCACTGCTATAAGCAGCCCAAGTTACTATGCTGAAGATTGAAGTGCCAGACATGTTTGTTTTTTTCAGAAACATTGGCTGTACAGACCAGATGTGCTTCAGATGACTCTAGCCCTAGTTACTACCTAACAGCAGCCACCTGGGATCCAAGAGGAGCCAAATCCCCTAACTGTGCTAACCACAGGGCCATGGAATAGAGTACTAAGCCACGAAACTTTGGTGTTGCACAGCTCTAGACAAACAAGAAAGGCAGCAGTGGCCCTAGTAAGGCTTGTCACACACTTTCATATATTTCTTCCATAACAAAAGCAACAATAACCAGTCATTCTTTCAATCCCTTTAATAAGGTACTCTGAGGAACCAGAAGAATAACAGGCAGGGAAGACAAAGTAGTGCTTTTTAAGCCCCACTCAGTAATTCATCAGTCATCTTCTGGTAACTGGATCTTGCTGGGATCAAAACAGTTGGATTCCATGATGGGGAGGCCGTTGGTTTCTCGGTATTTTACAAGTCTCTCAGCTTCCCGGCGGGCCCACTCTTGCATCCTAGAAGCAGCAACAGGCGTGGTCTATGTGAGAGAGCCTCACTAGACACCAGTTCCCCTCCTCAGCACCCCATATCCCACCAATCAATGCAGGGCAAGGATTCTGGCCAGAGACTCCTTCAACCTTTACCCTTGCTCCTGCTTCTTTCTACTCACTCTGCTCTCTTGGAAAACCCCATACCTGTAGTCAGGCAGATATGCCACAAAAGTGGTACCAAAGACCAGGACGATGGAAAAACCAAAGAAGAAGACAGCTCGCATGTTCCAGACGTCCACCACAGGGTCCTGGTCATAGCCGTGAAAGTCTGGGTTCTGAGGAGAAGGAAAGATCACTAAGGGCTTCCTCCCGCATAATAAAAATATATGCTGGTCCTGCATGATCTGGTCTCTAATCTGCCCTCAAACCAACTTCTTATTCCTCACTAAAATCTTTTTCCTATTCTAAGGTTGTGAAGTTCCTTCCCAACAAAGGGCTTTGGTATTTGCTCTTCCCACTACCTAGAAAGTGCTTCCTCTAAATCTAATCAGAGCTGGATCCATGCCTCTCCCCTCATCCAAGGTTTTAACTTTATTTCCAAATGAGTAATTGGCCTCACCTACTTGTTTGGGAAACATTACCTAATCACCCTGTCTGTTAAATTGTACCCTTGGGAAGTGCTATTTATAAAGGTTTAAAAATGGCTGAATGTTGGTAATTTCCTATGGGTCTACTTACCCTATAGCACCCTATATAGCCCCTCAACCAGAGGTTAGTGTTGATGAAGTACCTATACACCAGGCCTTTTCAAAAATACAAACCTCACCTATCCTAGTACGGTGGAAATGGCAATAATAAACATCTTCTAATTCTGAGTACTTCTGAAGTGGCCAGAGCTGTTGTGACCATTCTGACTCATTTAATCATATTAAGCAGTTCCATTTTAGTTGTCCTATTACTGTTCTCACTCTACAAAGAAACTATAAACTACCTGCCCAAGGTCATACAAGTGAATAATTTTCAACCCAGGGTGTCTGACTCCAGGGTCTCTGTTATTCATAAAGCACGGGAATCCAATTAGTCCTAAATTCAAATATCAGGTCCATTTCCTACTTAGGTTATGTGATCTTGAGCAAGCAACTTAACTGTTTCAGTATCCTCATCTGCATAATGGTAACAGTAGTAGCGTCTACCTCAAAATCACGCTGTTTTTGAACATAGATACAAAGTGTCTACACAGGAACCGAGCACATGCCATCTCAGAATTTAGAATTATCCTGATTATAATGTTTCTAACGCACTTTGGGCACTGCCCACTTTAAGTGTGATTTCTGTCTACAAACAAAGCAAATCCTCCTTTGAGTCCTAGACCGAAGATATCAAAACAAAAAAGGGAAAAACAAGCCAAAACTGTGAATCTTTAAAGACCTTGTGCAGGGCGCAAGCCTTGAGCCGGAGAAGGATCTCTTCGACACCGGTCTGCTGGGTCCCAGATCGGCCCCTGCGGCAACCCGTTCCCCCCCCCCCCCCCCCCACACACACTCCCTCTCACCTTCGCGTAGAGGTTTTCGTCCTCGGGTTCTGGGTCCTCCTGCCAAAGTGTAGTCGGTTCTTGCGGCCGCTTTCTCTCCACAGCAGACGGGGAGATTACAGCCCTGGAGGATTCCCAGCGAACGCGGGCAGCCGGGAGCTCTCGTATTGTCGCTGCTGCCAAAAGGCGGCGAGCATATAAACTTAACAGCCTGGCCGCCATGACAGCTTGAGGCTGGGTCGGGGAAGGGAGGGGGGGGGGGGAGAGACACGGAAATGCGATGTGCGCAGCTGCGGTTGATCCCAGCGCGATTTTTGTCGCTCCGCCCTCACCTCGCTAAATAGATCCTTGTTCTAAGTTTGTTTTCGAGCGTGGCGAGGTGTGGACTCTGTTTTACTTCCCACGTCGTGTCGTCATCAAATCAACTTTATCCTTTCTGTCAGGCTGGGAGAAATTTGGTCTTGAGAGGTCTGTTTATTTTCTTCATAAGAAGAAAGTGGTGACATCTAGATGGCCTTGTGGGGAAAGAGGTGGAGCTTTTGCTTGTCTTTCAACTTCATAGCAAAGCAAGCTCTAAAAAGCGGGCCTCATAGGGGTAGCCAATAGCTACTCTTTTTCTGGACTCCCGGGGCGTTCTCACGGAATGGGGAGGTAGCATATGCTTGCCAATCAGAGAAGGCCAGGACCAGCCCATGGCGGACAGCAACCAATCGTCAAGGCCAGCCAGAGCGCGCTCCCTTAGTAGGTGGATGGTGGTCGGAGCGCCGGCTCCCGTCTCCTCGTCGCCATTTTGTGTCGGTGACTGCAGCCGGCTGGGAGAAGGCGGCACTGAGTTTCCTTGGGAGGGCAGCGCGTCGGGCGCGTCTCCCCTCCCCCTTTCCCTTCTTTTGCCACCAGCCTTGAACTTAGTTGTTGCACTCAATCGGCTCCCGTTGAAGTAACAGTTCTGGAGGAGGTGGCGGTTGGCGGAGGTGATGCCTGGGAGCCCTCCCTTGACAGCCCGGGCCGAGAAGGTGAGCGCTGTTGCGGGTGGTGGGGGCCGAGGTAAGGGAGCAGGGCGTGCGCCGTGGGGGGTGGTGCGGTGTGCATAGAAGAGGCGCGGGGACGGACTGCACACTTCGGGGTTCACACAGAACTGACGGATGCACCTGAGAGAGGGTGTCCCCCCACTTTTTCTTATGAAAGCAAAAGCGCGTGCGCGATTGGGACACGGGATGGGTGCACGAGGGTGGGGGAAGGGAGGGACAGATGAGAGTGGGGTACTGTGACTTACTGTGTTTGCTCCACCGAACTTTTATCTTTTGGAACGTGCGTGTCTGCGACTTTGCGGGGGTATTCTAAGAGCAGGGGTGTGCTGGCTGTGCCCTGTGTTACTTGTTATCCACGCGGAAATACTCCGATTGCGGCCTCTTTTCATTTATGTGGCGGGGATGGGAGGTGGTGAGCGCGGAGAGAGAAAGTGACTACGGTTTTTATCCTTGGGGTGTGTATCTGATCTCCAGTTCTTATCGGCCAGGAAACTGTCGTGTTACTGGCCGACCCCAACCTATTTATTGAATGCTGGGGAGGGTGAGGTGGATAGAGAATATAGGTGCGACTTTTATTCTTTTGGGAGTTGTATCTGACACTGACATTCAAATATTAAAAGGGGAATTGTTTAATTATGTCTCTTGTGGGTTACCATCTGTGATCTTGGCCCTTGGTTATTTGGAGGCTCGACTATAACTTTGATTCTTATCTGTGCTATGTATATGACAATGTTTGACTCACCCTTTTGCCATTGATGGGTTTGCATCAGGTTCTCAGCTATTAGGGTTCCTGGTTGATTGTTTTCCCCCATCTGGGAGCAGTTAGCTGGTTTCTTGTGGTTTGAGGTGGAAGAGAAAATAGGAACATGTGTACTTGAAGGAAAGGTGTGGTGGCAGCCTAGTGTTAGGCCATACTCTAAGGGCCTTGCTTTCCTTGGTTCCTGTACAGTGGGCGGCAGCTGAAGATTCAGGGATAATTCCGATCCCTAGTTGGGTCGCATCACTCTCAGGACTTGTAATTCTTGGGGCATCCCCAAAAGTTGGATGAACTGACTGCTCCCTTCAACTCTGTAGAACAAGATGTTTTGGAACCGCTTCAGAAAGAGGCCTTTTTTGCCTCTTGAAAACTTAGCCTATGATCTCTGGGGAGAGGATCCACCTGGGGACCTGACTGCACATCACATCATGGCTGAGCCACTTGCTGTATGAGGACCAGAGCTCTGTTGGCCAGGAGCCCAGGGAGGTGGCAGCTGTCTTGTTGCCAAGTTAGCCCCTACGTGTGTTACCCTTCTTCCCTCCCTTCCTCCCTCCCTCCAAAAGTCTTTGAAGGTTTCTAACTGCCCTGTCAGAGTATAGCTAACATCTTGTTGGGAGGATGAAATGATACCTTGACTCATTGGGGAGGTGCTTGGGATTCCATTGTTGTGAAGTCTTTTATTACTCTTTTGTCTTTTGGTGTTTTGCTGTTTGTTTTTGTGATGCTGGGGATGTGACCCAAGGGGCCTTGAACATGGCTGTGCTGGTCATGTGTTCTGTCTCACAACTATATCCCCATCCAATTATTGTGGTCTTATTTCTGTGACTTATCCTAGGCAGATCATTCAGCACTTGATCTAAGAGTAAGAGTACAAAGCCTTGATCACAGCTGGTGGTACCACCAAATCTCTGTAAGATGCTCTTTGTTTAATAAAGGGCCTTACTGTTTTCTGGGGAAGTAGAATCTTGCCTTATGCTTGTGGGGAAAGGAAGGAGAGAGCCAAATGGGGGCTGTCTTCCTGCAGTGGTTCACAGGAGCACAAGGAAGTAGAAAACAATGTCCCTGGGCTACAGGACAGTAGAGAGCCTTGACAATGACATTCTCTCAAGGTCTTCTCTGCACCAACTGCCTTGACCCTTTTCTTCCTTTCATCCTCTGCAGAGTCTCTGCAGGAGGCATCACCCAGGCTGGCAGATCATGGTGGCAGCAGCAGGGGTGGCTGGGAAGTGAAAAGGAGCCAGCGACTGAGGAGGGGCCCCAGCAGCTCCCGAAGATCCTATCAGGACATGGAGTATGAAAGACGGTGAGTTATCCATTCCCTCTGCGCCCAAGCACTGTAAGCATGCCCCCATGTGAGCACCAATCCAGGACACTTAACTTCTAGGCAGAAGAAACAACACAGCAAAGGAGTGGTTTCTATGTTTCGAGAATGCAGAGATGAATGAGACATAATGATTGTAGGTCTCTCCTTGTGAGAGACTGTCTTGCTATGTATGGTCTTACAAGTTTACAGGTCTTGCTATGTATGGTCTTACAGGTGATTGCCAAACAGCCTGATGAGTACCGTGGCTGGATGTGAGAATAGGTTTCTTGTTAGTATGGGTGAGGAGGCCAGAGAGTGATGCCAGGTATCTACCTCAATTGCTCTCCCTGTTATTATTTGAGACTGAGTTTTTCATTGAAACCAGAGCTCCCAGATTTAGCTATACTGGTTGGCCAACAAGCTCGGGGGAGTCCTCTTTCTCTACTTCCTCAGCCCTAGGATTAGAAGCATGTGTCACACCTGGTGTATTTATATGGGTGATGGGGAATTGAGCTCAGGCCCTCATACTTAAACCACAGTTTACTGCTAATAGAGCATCTTCCAGGCCTGTGAAGGGTGAATTTTGTTTTGTTTTGAGACACAGTTTCCCTTCATAGTCCATACTGACCAACTTCAGCTTCCTAAGAGAACTGGAGTGACAGCTTATCCAGTGCATACAGGGCACTTTGTTTTGGATTTGGGATGGGTCTTGCTCTGTTGGATAAGCTTGTCTCAAAATCCTAGGTGCAAGTGATACTCAAATTCGTCTTCCTGAGTAGCTGGGAATGTGACATCTCACTGGACTTATATGCTTTTATTTTGCTTTTCAACTCTGATACCAAACAAACATTTAGGATACTTGGTACGATTTGGGGTATAAGTACAAGATCCTGGTAGATTATTTCCTCAGGTGATTCTGAAGCAAATGACCAATCCACCATATTTTAAAAGAGCCCAGGAAGGCAAACCGAATTTAAGATTGAGAAAGTCTGTTCTTAATAAATTTGCTGGATATGTGATGTGTACCTATAATCCTAGCACTTGGGAGGTGGGGGCAGGAGGATCAGGAATTTAAAACCAACTTGTGCTACATGAGAAAAACTAGTTAATAAATTTATGAAACACCGGAGAGAAAGCAGTTTTTGAAATGTCTCTTTGTGGGATGGGTTACTGGGGTGTGGGGATTGAACTCAGCACGTGCTGTACCAATGAGCTATTTTATATTCTCAGCCCTTTACATTTTATTCTGAGATAGATTGTAAATTGCCCAGTTTGGGCTTGTTTGTACTCAATCTGTAGCCCAGATCTTGCAACTGTCCTACCTCAGTCTCTGAGTTTACAGGCCCATACTACTAGACCCAGCTTATAAATGCCATTTTATTTATTTATTTTATGTGCATGAATGCTTTGCTTGCATGTGTCTTTGCACCACGTGTGTTCCTGATGTCGCCAGAAGAGGGCATTGGGCCCTCTGGAACTGGAATTACAGACAGTTGTGAGTGAGCCACCATGTAGGTGCTAGAAATCCGAGCTTGGGTTCTCTGGAAGAGCAATCAAGTGCTCTTAACTGCTGAGCCAACTCTCCAACCCATAGTTATTTTTGGAATAGGGTTTCACCATGTAGTTTCTATCTACCTGGAACTCATTGCAAACACCAGCACCAGCAAGCCTCCTGGATATTGGGACTAGCATGTGCTACCATGCCTGGCATTGGCCTCCTTTTAAAAGTGTCTTTTGAAAGGCATCTGGTGGCTAGAAATATACTCAGTGGCAGAACTCTTACTTAGCATGTGTGAAGTGTTAAGTTCAATACAGTACTTGCTTAGGGGAAGATTAATTTGATTGTCAACCATAATCACTACAAGTACTATGTGACTGAGCTTCAGGTAGCTATACTTTCTTGGACTTTGTTGCCAAGTAAAACTACTGGTTTTCTTTTGGTTTTTAGAGGATCCAAAATGTAGAGGTTTGAATTAGTCACATTTTCCATTTCTAAATAGATTTTATCAAAGACCTGTCATCACAAGGCCTCTTCTCTTACTGTGTTTGTTTTTTTTTCTTCAGTTTATTCCCAATTTCCACCTCTGTAGGCACCAGCTCTGTTGTACTTACTATGTATCCTTCTAAAATAGTGTTATCTCAAGTGTCTGTTTTTAATTCTTATAAAAAGCATTCCTTTTGTTTTCTGAACTCCATATTACTCAGCACTGTATATTTTAGCTGTCTCTATTGTCATTAATATACAAAATGTTTTGTCTCTAATTGGTGCCAAAGGCACCATGAGGTGTACATGTTACGTTTTACTTAATGTGTGTGTGCCTGCCAAGAATAGATACTGTTGTTTTTGTGGTTGTTGTTGAGACAGGATCTCATACTATAATCCATGCTGTCCTAGAACCCACCACAGACTGATTGACCTGAGACTTGTGGTGATCTTCTTCCCTCAGTCTCCTGATGATCTGTTCTTAATAAATCCTTACTTTCTTGCTTCTTC